TCCATGGTTTGGTAAATTATGCCTGGAGTTGACTTTTTTGTAGTTGTTTTCCTCTTGAAAAGCATAAGCATGAAGAACAGGGTTTTTTTCAATTCAGTATCCCATGATAAGAAAAAAAGTAATGTGTTTTTCAGGAGAAAGTTCTGATACTGTGTAATCTGATCCAACAAGAAAAGATAAAAGACGTTTGGCAGTTAAGTGTCAATATTATAAAGCAGGCAGTAACTCCTTTAAATATCAAAATCTGTTATGTGCATCCGTTGCATATGTGCATCTTGCAAAAAAGATTTTTTTTAATACTTAGTAGTGGTATATAGACTTCACTTCTATAATTGGATCATTTTCTATTGTTCAAAAATTGGAACAGGAGGGAGAAAAAGCTTTACCTAACTTTAAAAGTGATTATAGTTGAGCTTCCTCCCAAGGCTGGTTAAACAAACCAGACTGGCATAAGACACTCCTTAACTTTGATGTTGTGGATGTACACTTGAATTAGTTGGGAAGTGTTTTTCTGGATGACTAGTTCTGGTCAAATACGTAGCTGTTTCTTCTTTTGTTAATGTGTCCCCAGAAGTTCATGTGCAAGAAAGCCATCTTTCATCAGGTTGTGGTGAGCCCTGTGAGGAGGACAGTGACAAAGCTGAATATGATTTTTCACTGATAAATTGAGCTTGTTTTGTGTGACAGATAACCAGATTACCTTCGGGAAAGCAGGACTGAGCATACTGTGTATTTAGCTAAGGAATGTACTTGAGCTTAGGACATTACTACTGGTCTGTAGATCTAAACCAGCTTATTTTAAGAGTCAACCCAAATTTTTGCAACGTTTGGCTGGTCTTAAGAAGTGGAGAGCTCATAAAAAAATCTCCAGTTAAAATTGCTAGGGATTCTCTCAGGACAGCTAGTATCTAGCAAGAGCAGACTACAAAGGCAGTTTGAATGAAAACAAGTTCTAAAACTTGGTTGAATGTTTTTATTCTCAGATGGTTGTCTACTCTGGATTGCTAGAGAAAACGAGGGATTTTCATAATGTTATGAAAGTTCATACTCAGAACATTGGCTGTGCTGTCAGTAACCAGCATTTGCTGTGTTTTCTCAAGTTGTGTTAGCCCTAAAGAAGGTCACCCAGGACACAGTATGTCTTTTGGTTAAAATTTGTCGATGTTAAAGTCACTATGGAGATCAGTGACAGAAATCTGTTTCTAAAAGAATTTCACTTTTTCTAACATTAATCCAGCAGGTTTTAAAGTAGTGGATGGATCACTTTCTGACATGTGCTATAGTCTCAATGCAATGGCAATAGAGTTTCAAAGATACTTCAGAAGTGATGATATTTAAATGTTCTTATATTGTGACTAAAAAAAAAGATTGACAACAGACACAACCACTAAGTTCATAATTGGAAAACTGAAAAGCCTGGTAATACTACTTTTCATATTAAAAAAAACAAACAACAACTTGAAAAGTCCTGATGTATCATATCATATATATCCCAAGCTTGCTTCTCCAGTGGAGTAACTCACTTTCCATTGCTATAAAGAGTGTACATCGCATGTAGAAATTGTGTGATTATTTTTTCTTAATCACGTGTTGTAAAAGGTTTCAGATAACTACTCTCAGAAGAGTACTTGAGGAATAGTCATACAGGAAAGAAGAAATTAGAGCTGTGCTTCCAAAGTTCATTCTTCTTGACAGGAGCCAGAAGTAAATTGCAAATCCAGAAGCCCAAAGATCTGTCATGTTGTAGGTACCATTTAGAAAGGCAGTAATTTTTGCTTCTTCAGTTTAGGATTTTATTTCTTTTGCCTCCTGCTTAAACCCTTGGTGCTTTCCATCAATGTCCAAGTGGAAACCAGTAACAAGTGGTGTCCCTCAAGGGTCCGTACTGGGACCCGTGCTATTTATTATCTTCATCAGTGACAGATAGTGCGATTGAGTGAACCCTCAGTAAGTTCATTAGATGGAAGGAATGCCATCCAGATGGGCCTTGAGAGGATTAAGGAGTGAGCCCATGCAAACCTCATTAAGTTCAACAAGGCCAAGTGCAAGGTCCTGCACTTGGGTCAGAGTAACCCCCAGTATCAACACAGGCTGGAGGATGAAGGGATTGAGAGCATCCCTGAGGATAAGGACTTGGGGGTACCGGTGGATGAAAAGCTGGACATCAGCTGGCAACATGCACTCACAGCCCAGAAAGCCAACCATATCATGGGCTGCGTCAAAGGAAGCATGACCAGCAGGTTGAGGGAGGGGATTCTGCCCCTCTGCTCTGCTCTGGTGAGACCCCACGTGGAGTACTGTGTCCAGCTCTGAGGTCCCCAGTACAAGACATGGACCTGTTGGAGGAGGTCCAGAGGAGAGACACAAAAATGATCAGAGGCATGGAACACCTCTCCTATGAAGAAAGGTTGAGAGAGTTGGGGTTATTCAGCTTGGAGAAGAGAAGACTTCAGAGAGACCTTATTGCAGCCATTCAACACTTAAAGGGGACATATAAGAAAGATGTAGAGAGACTCTTTACTAATGCCTGTAGTGACAGGACAAGGAGCACTGTTTTAAACTGGAAGATCGTACATTTGGATTGGACTTAAGAAAGAAATGTTTTACGATGAGAGTGGTGAGACACTGGAACAGGTTGCCTGGAGAAGCTGTGAATGCACCATCCTTGCAAGTGTTCAAGGTCAGGTTGGATGGGGCTTGGAGCAACCTGGTCTAGTAGAAGGTGTCCGTGGCAGGGTGTTTGGACTAGCTGATCTTTAAAGATCCCTTCCAACCCCAACTATTCTATGATGCTATGATCTTATTTATTCTGTTTGTCTCTTTCTTTGTACAAGCACCCCTTGTACAGGCTTTCCTTCACAGCGTAACAGCATGGCTGAAGTTGGAGGCAGTATGGAGATTATCTAGGCCAACCCCCTGCTCAAACAGGGTCAATCAGAGCAGGTTTTTTGGGGGTCGTGTCCAGCTGAGTTTTTAATATCTCTGAGGATAGAGACTTCACAACCCTCTCAGGACAGCCTGTTCCAATCTCACAGTAGAGGAGTTTTTTTCTTGGCTTTAAATGTAATTTCTTGTGTTTCAGTTTGTGCCCATTGCCTCTTGTCTGTTCACCTTTACACTCTCCCACTAATTACTTATACACATGGATTAAGACACACCCCTCCCTCCTGCCCCAATCCTTCATTCTCCAGCATGAACACTCCCAGTTCTCTCAGCCTCTCCTCATATGGGAGATACTCCAGTCCCATCATCATCTTCATGGGCCCTCCCTGCATTTGGTCCAGTACATCCACATCTGTCTTGTACTGAAGAGCCCAGAACTGGGAACAGGTCTCGTGATGAGGTCTTAGCAAGGCTGGGTAGAGGGAAATAATCATCTTTGTCAACCTGCTGTCAATGCTATTACTAATGCAGTCCAGGATGCTGTTGGCCATCTTTGGTGTAAGGGCATGTTTCTGGCTTATGGTCAATTTGGTGTCCACCAGGATCCCCAGGGTATCTCTGCCAAGCTGCTTTCCAGCTAGTCAGACCCCAGACCATGATGGTTAAGCATGATTTCCCTTGATAGGTCTGTGCTGATTACTCCTTAATATGTTTAAAAATGGTTTCCGGGACTAGTTGCTCAATCACCTTCCCAGAGATCGAGGTCAGGCTGATCAGATCCTCCTTCCCACCCTTCCTGACGGTAAGGGTGGTACTTGCTTTCTTCCAGTCCTCAGGAATCTCCCCAAAACCACCATGACCTTTCCAAGATGATCGAGAGTGGTCTTGCAACAACATCAGCCAGCTCCCTCAGCGCCCATGGATGCATTGCGACAGACCTGTGGACTTGTGCATCTCCAGTTCGTTTAAATGCTCCCTAGCCTAAACCTCCCCCACTGAGAGTAAGTTTTCCTTGCCCTGCGCTTTCCCACTGGTCTTAGGAGCTGATGGCTGGTCTTACCAGTAAAGACCAAGGCAAAGGGGGCAATCAGTGCCTCTGCCTTCTCCATGTCCTTTAAGACCAGGTCCCCATTCCCATTCACAGGGCAGACTCCCATTCTCCCTAGTCATCCTTTTGCTGATGATGTACCTATAGAAACCTTTCTTGTTGCCCTTCATGTCCCTTGCCAGAATCAGCTCCGTATGGGCTTTAGCTTTCCTAAGCCCATCCCTGCATGTTTGGACGGTGTCTCTATATTCCTTCCACCTCACCCAATTCTGCTTCTGCCTCTTGTGCGTGTGCTTTTAATGGTGGAGTTAAGTCAGGAGCTCCTTGCTCATCCATGGGTGCCTCCTGCAAGCTTGCTTTTAAAATAGTCACTTCAATAAGAGAAAAGCTTTGTCATACAGTAGACAGTACCAGACTGAGTCTTAACTCATCTTTGTGAAAGGTGAACCTGAAATCCTTAACTCTTCACCCTTTCAGAGATGTCTGTGCAACAACCTGTGCTGCATGACTTGGGCATGGATTTGATAAGGCTTTAGTGAAATGAAACACAGCAAAAGGTTGTAGTTCTTAATTTGCTGTACCTTCTTTCTTCTAGTTTTTCTGTTGTTCCTGCATTTTCTCCTGTTGTCTGTACAGTTAACCAGCTATTTTAAGGACTTTCTTTGGAAGGATGCTTTGAGAACTGGCAGTGCTTTGGGAGCTGTTCTGAAGGTGATGGCACTCTGTCTTGGTTTTCAAGTTGCTGAACTGATCAATAATAAATCCAGTCTTGAATGGTGAGGATGAAGAAGTGATAACATAAGCAGTATAGTAATATATAAAAAGTTCTATCAAAAGCCAGGATGAAACTATGATTACTTGAATACTCTTCCCAGTTTACTCCGCAAATGTACCATTTCAAGTGAATAGTAACGAAAGGAAAATGAAAAGATTCAGCCTCAAAGCTTGTGGTGCAGAAACAGTTCAGTGAGTTAAAAGGTTTTTAATAGTTCCATTATATGCTTCCTATTCAGGTAGCTTTATGATTTGAGGGGTGTGTTATTGAAATACAATAATTGTTTTCATTTAGGTAAACAAACATTAAAGATATTTGATGGGAATGATGCAGTGAAACGCAATCAATTTCGACTGATTTCAGTTCCAAGGATTGCAAAAAATGAAGAAGTTGTGGTAAGATAACCCGGTCAAGGTTAATATTCCGGTGTGATAAAGGGGCATATGATTGTATATTACAGTAGTCAAAAGCTAGCATTATTACAAATGTAACTCAACAACAACAAAATCTGTAAATTGGCTATAACATTACAATGCAATTTGACTTCTTCCTGTACTGCTCTTACTTTAGAGCATCTGAAGAAGTGGTGGCCTACATACCTGTAGCATAATGGGGACCACAGCATATCACATGTTAAGCAGTCATTCTCCTTCCCTATGTGACATTGAAGTATGATTTTACTGATATGAGCAATATGGGATAATAAGCTCCTTAGATCTTGCTCCTTTTCTATAGTATTTATTGGTTTGATGTTTATCCTGGACAGCCGCCACTACTGCATTTCAGTTAATCAGCTTTGAAGACTGAAGCATGCCATGGTTACCTCCACTCCTTGGCTGTAAAAGTTAGTGAATTATCTGTCACATAGTGGCCACTCCCTAGCTTTTCCAGTGCTCCATGGAAACATGACTCAGTACTAAATCAAATGTTCTGTACAGATCTTAATTTACTGGGCTGGGCAGAGACCCCATGATGTGAAGAAATGAAGCCCAGAGTGGTTATGGGGTGGTGCACAGTAGAATTGAGCATTGTAGGGACTCAAAGTCATAAAGAACTTGGCACAGGAATCTGGAGAATCTATTACATCAGAATTTTGAATTTAAACCTACAGCTCATTAAGATTTTTATCTTGATATTGTGCTCAAAATCAACAGGAGTTTTGAAAATGGTTTGTAGTATTCAGCATGTCAAAGATCTTCAAGGAAAAATTTGTACAGTGCTGAAAACACTTTTATTTAGGAGTGCTACTTGCCTTTCAACCATATTTTATCAGGCTGCTGCTTATAATACCAGGGCAGATTAATACCTGTTCTTGTAAGTGACTTACTGGGCTGTATTCACTGCAGCATCTGTTTTAGCAGAGGTGCTGCAGGCATGGGCCAGTAATGGATGTAAAATTCCTGTGACTGCTTGCATCTTCCAAGGATAGCCCTTACCTTTCCTCTTCACAGGTGTGTGGGTTCAGGGCAGCCTTGTGGCTGGGAATGCTTACTAATTGTCAGCATCCCCTTAGTGCAAGAAGGTTGAATATGCAGAGTTGGGTACAATCAAGTGTAATTTACCATTTTCCTTCTGGAGTAAATTTTGTATGCAGTGAGTGTAGCTTTATTGGTGCTGAATTTTTACATTTGATCTATGGAGTTTAAAATTACTATCACTTGACAAAAACACTGTGGGCTGTGTTCAAATCCATTGATATCCCCAAGTTTTCTTTTTGTGTCTTCCACTAAAATTTGTTTTGAAAACTTCGCTCTTGTTTTGCTTTTTGCCATTGATAAATAGCAAACACTTAGAACACATTTTTAAGGTTGCTTCCGTAAGTAAGGTATTTATAAATGTCTATGCTATACAGGTATTAAAGGTGTCTTTTCAGGAAAAGGTTAATTTATCTTGCTGTGTTGTAGGAGGCTGCTTTGAGGACATACTACATAAATGATGACCAGCAGGAGTATGAGCTTCAGACCTTTACGCAGCAGACACTGCTGTCTGATGATGTTATCAACAGGAACAGTGCTGCAGAGGACAGCAACTTGGGCTCAGTATTCCGGGAATCCATTCCTGAAGCTTGGATCATCAGAGCCAAACCAAAGGATGAGGAAGTGATCAGAATTTATCCTGCCTGGCTGAAGTGAGTGTTCTCCTCCTTTATCACAAGGTTATCCTGCTTGGCTGCATTTGTCCTCTGTAGGCTAGCCTGATGTGTTTCAGTTATTGAAGTCGCACAAGTATAACAGAGAACGTATTTTCTTCTGTATTTCAGGATTCTTCTGTTTATTTTTCTGAATGAGTGATATACATGGTATTCATATCCATGCCTGGAAAAGTGCTTGTGGGTTTCTTTACGTGCATGGAACATATTGTGTGATTTGTGCAGTGCTATTATGGTGCATTTGGCCAAGAACATGCAACTTTATATTAACTGCATCTGTAAACAAATGATGACATACACATGTCACTTGAACGCTTGATGGGTTTTTGGAAGAAATATTAAGTAGGAAAAATTCAGTGTAACTTCTGATGTGAGAATATGAGGAAAAAATAAAGAAAAAAGAATCTGTTACATTTACCACTGATACAATATACATTTTAAGCATATTTAGCAGTGGAAACAAGACTGGCTGGTGATGTATTCATTTCTTATGAGCAGTGGGATATAATTTAAACATTTGTTCATTTTACTAATGCAACTACATTGCCATTTTTTACAAAAGACTTGCAGGTAATACTGTGTATAGGAAGAAACTAATTTGCAGTGCTACAATTGTAGTGACCAGTTCCTTGAGTTGAACATCTTTGCTTGTCTGTGGGGCTAATGCTGCATGTGCCATGAGCCTCAGTGAACAACTTTCTTCAACTAATACAAATTTCTGCCTACCCTCGTAGAAAATTTGCCACTTGGGTAAAAAAGGTACACACAGGATAGGTCAAATGATTGTCCTAAAATAAGTATTCCTTTTGTCTTTAGGGTGGGAATGGCATATGTTTCTCTACGAGTAAATAAGGATAGTACTACACAGACTGTGATCAAAGAAGTGCTTCCGTTACTTGGAAGGCAGGTAAATGAAAGGTCATAAGCTTGTCCGTATACCACCAGAGTGACCCTGAAGTAGGGTGTGTATGTTTTTCTCTTAGAAAAATTATAATCAGTCCATTCATGGTTAATGCAAATATTGTTAATATTTGGTAGATGATCTGTTGTGTCTGGTATGATGCTCAAAAATTTCTGCAGTCTTGATGGTAGACCTGGTTGCTCTGTACTGGAAGTTACCATTAGTCTTTCTGGGTCAAGCAGATTTACTTGTATGAACACAATGATTCTTGGCATGCAGTATATTTTTTCTGGTTGTTTATGTCTTGAGATATTGTCCTGGGTTCAGCTGGGATAGAGTTAATTTTTACAGGAACCTGGGAGGTGGGGGCATAGCCGGGGCAGCTGACCTGAACTAGCCAAGGATCTATTCCATACCGTGTGCCATCATGCTCAGTATATAAATGGGGAGCGGGCTGGCGGGTCTCTCTCTTGCTCAGCTTTCAGTGGAGGAAGTGGCGGAGCATCGGGTTCCAGGTGGTGAGCAGTTGCACTGTGCATCACTCCTTTTGTATATTCTTTTATTAGTACCGTTGTTGTTGTTGTAACTTCTCTTTTTGTGTTGTCCCAGTAAATTGTCCTTACCTCAACCCTCAAGGTTCTGGGTTTTTTTTTTTCTTTTCTCCTTTCTGATTCTCCTCCCCATCCTACCGGAGGGGGGCTGGAGGAGTGAGCGAGTGGCTGCGTGGTCCTTTGTTACCGGCTGGGCTGAAACCACAACAGATATTTAAAATACACTTGCATGTGACCACACTGCTAATCTTACCTTATTGGGAAACTGACAATCACTGTTAGGGTGATCATGCTTGTCTCCTACTTCTTTTCACTGCTCTGCAAAAGAAATCATAGAATCACAGAATATCTCAAGTCAGAAGGGACCCATAAGAATCATCAAGTCCAACTCTGCTCCTAGCAGGACTACCTAAAACTAAACCATATGACTAAGAGCATTGTCCAGATGCTCCTTGGACTCTGACAGGCTTGGTGCTGTGACCACTTCCCCAGGGAGCCCATTCCAGTGATCGACCACCCACTCAGTGAAGAACCTCTTCCTAATGTCCAGTCTGAACATCCCCTGACGCAGCTTCATTCCATCTCCTCGTGTGCTATCGCTGGTCACCAGAGAGAGGAGATCAGCACCTCCCCCTCCACTGCCCCCCTTGAGGAAGTTGTAGACTGTGATGAGGTCACCCCTCGGCCTTCTCTTCTCCAAGCTGAACAAACCAAGTGACCTCAGCTGCTTCTCCTAAGTCTTGCCGCCGAGACCTTTCACCGTCTTGGTTGCCCTCTTCTGGACACACTCTAATACTTTGATGTCCTCCTTATATTGCGGCACCCAAAACTGCACACAGGACTCGAGGTGGGGCCATCCCAGTGCAGTGTAGAGTGGGACAATCACCTCCCTTGACCAGCTAGCTATGCTGTGCTTGATGCACTCCAGGACACACTTGGCCCTTTTGGCTACCAGGACACACTGTTAACTCATATTCAACTTGCCATCAACCCAAATGCCCAGATGTCTTTCTGCAGGGCTGCTCTCCAGCCTCTTGTTCCACAGTTTGTATGTATAACCAGGATTACCCCATCCCAGATAGAGAACCTGGTACTTGCTCTTGTTAAATTTCACATGACTGGGGATTGCCCAGCTCTCCAGCCTACCCAGATCTCTCTGTAAGGCTTCTCAACTCTCAAGGGAGTCCACAGCTCCTCCTAGTTTAGTATTATCAGCAAACTTACTTAATGTGCATTCAATTCCTGCATCCAGATCATTTATAAAAACATTAAAGAGCATGGGCCCTAAAATCAAGCCCTGGGGAACCCCAGTGGTGACTGGCCGCCAGCCTGATGTAACCCCATTTACTATAACCCTTTAAGCCTGACCCATCAGCCAGTTGCTAACCCAATGTGTTCCGGACTTGTCTGGCTGTGTACTGGACAGTTTATCCAGAAGGATACTGTGAGAGACAGTATCAAAAGCTTTGCTAAAATCCAAACCCACCACATCCACTGGCTTCCCTTGGTCAGCTAGATGGGTGACCTTGTCATAAAACGAAATTAAGTTAGTTAAGCAGGACTCCCCTCCTGAACCCATGCTGGCTATCACAAATGACCATGTTGTCCCTCAAGAGTTCTTCAATAACTTCCAGAACAACCTTCTCCATAATTCCACCAGGCACTGAAGTGGGACTGACAGGCCTGTAATTACCAAGGTCTTCCATCTTACCCTTCTTGAAAACTGAGACAACATTTTCCAGCTTCCAGTCAACTGGGACCTCTCTAGACTCCCAAGACCATTGAAAAATAATGGAGAGAAGTCCCATGATGGGGACTTTGGTGGCATTGGTCAGCTCTTTCAGTACCCTGGAATGAATCCCATCAGGCCCCATAGACTTATGTGCATCCAGCTGGTGCAGCAAGTCTCAAACAAGTTCAGAGTTGTCTGGGAGTTTATCATCTCCCCAGTCACAGTCTTCCAACACAGGGCTCCAAGGGTCCCAGGGCCCACTGTTGGTGTTGAAGACAGAGACGAAGAAGGCATTAAACGTCTCTGCTTTGTCTGTGTCCCTATTTGTGAGGTGACCAACCTCATCAAGTAATGGACCTGATCCTTCTTTTGCTGTTAATGTATTTTAAAAAGCCCTTTTTGTTGTCCTTCATGGTCCTGGCCAGCTTGAACTCTAACTGAGCTTTGGCCACAAGAATTTTCTCTCTACAGTGGCAAACAGCATCTTTGTAATACCCAACGACTACAGGGAAGAACTCAAGGCTGAATGGCACCCACGTTCTTTACCATCTACATTCCTTCCCACCTCCTTAGAAATTATTAGATACATCTTGTAATCTTGTAGATACACATGCTTTGCTTGGAAGAGATTGCTTTTCAGTCTGCCTGTCTTTCTTACAGTTGGTGCCAAGATAGCATGACTTTCAGGAAACATGTTAGAATTTGCAAGTGTGCCAAGACACTGGCAGTCTCAATCAAACACACAGGTCGGGAGGCATCAAGCTATAGTGTGCATAGTCTGTTCAGTAATTGGGGCTTGTGAGCACGCCAGCAAATCAGCATGCTTCCACTGCTCCAGGGAACAGCCGTGCTCACAGAGGGCAACCACTGCCTTTTGTGGTTATTTACAGGGTAGGTAGGAATATGTGTCTGGCTAGCTATCTGCAGTAGGTGATAATTGTAGATCTGTCTAGGTGTACACCTACATGTACATGTGGTGCATGCAGCTCATTTTGCACCATAGGATGGTTCTAGGATTTCACTTCAGTACTTTTTCTCAAGTGCTGTGGACCTTTTAACAAAATTTGGAAAATCTTGTCTGAAGTCTTGTCTCATCTGAAAAAAGCAACTGTCAAACGGGATGGTTGGGTACTCCGGGAAAGATCTTCACATCTCTGTATTTGGGAAGCTAGTTTTAGGTTGTAAGAGACTTAATTCCATGGCTCAATTGCAATTTCTCTGATATTGATAGTTTTTTAAAGGGTTTTCTCCTTTTTCTGTATGAAGAAGCACATACAGGATATATCTTTTTAATATCCAGAATTTGCCGTTGCTGAAGATCCTCTCCCAAGTTGCTCTCATTGAATTTCAGGCAAACCAAATGTAGGCAGTTGAGGCTTTTAACACCCCTGTTCATGACATGTAAAGCAACATCATTTGTCCTCTGCCTATCAAGATTAAAAGTTAAGAGACTTCCTCAATCCTGAGTGTCGCATGTTTCCAGGGTTGCAGTAATCCTAGTTCAACTCTTGGCTTTTCTCATCCAGCTGCAAGGGACTTGGGTGGTCCTTGGCAGTATAGTTTGGAAAAGGGACTGTGGCACACGTGAAGAGGGTTTCATTCCATCAGTGCTGGTGGAGTGCCCCAGGAGATGGGGACCGGTCAGCCTGCTTTTGCCAAGCCTGGTTCCTGGGCCATCTTCTCAAAGAGCAGGTTCATTCCCAGTCCTGCATGCTTTCTCTGGAAGGATGCTCTGGAAATATCCTTGTTGAGCTGCTGGTCACTGAAGGGGTGTAGAGTTAACTGTGCTTTAGAGGTGCCCTTTCACCGTGGGCCTGCAAGGATGCTGATGTAGTTAAGGGCATGGGAGCCTGAAGCCATATGTGCGAGACTGAGTGTATAAAATGAGGATTATCCCTGGCTTGGGAGGAACGGGTTAGGGGAAGAACATTGTGCTTCTGTGTGTGCAGCGTATAATATAATGTTAATGTTAAACATCTGGCAAAATTATATTTCGTTCAGAAACTACATTTACATGTTGCATCTTTTGGCAGACGGAGTGCCTCCAGAATTTCAAATTGGTGGAAGTGCTTATGGGCAGTAAGCAAGGTAAGTGAAGGAGCATTGGCCAAATGCACGTCTGTAACTGATCTTCTAGCTTTTTTTGCCCACTTCTAACACAGTCACAATTAATTTTTTACAATAAATGCCTTCACAAATGAAACTTCACCATCCTGTTGAAATACTCAATCAGAACTGATGTTGGTTTTTTCGGTCTTGTGTGTCCTGTGGGAATATGGTTCTCTTCTCTTTCTTCATCACCACATAAAGGGTTTATTAGCAGTTTCTGGTGGGTATTGACACTTCGGCGAAGAGTCTTGTTTTGGGGAGCTGCCTTTAACTGACATAATTTTCTTAACTGCAGTTATTTAGTAAAGATTGTGACATTCAAGTGACTCCCTTCCTTCCCTTCTCTTTCACCCTGACACTGCCCCCAAACAAGAGCAAATTTGAGTCCTGAGATAGTCCAATTGCAGTCCAACTGCATTATGAAGTATAGAAATACGCAGTCCTAGCATTGCTCAAGAGGTTTGTGATCCTGCAGGAGCTGAGCTGGTGTTCTCCAAGTTCACATCCCTTTGTGCTTCATTATTTCTAACATTGCATGGAGAGATAAAATAAAGCCACTGAAGTCTTCTGATCGTGCCCTGGCCACACCCAAGTAAATACCTTTGTAGTTCAAATACTGGCCTGATACTTTGCTTGGTTTGAGAGTCTTACCAGTAAGTTGTTTCATAAGCTTATTGCAGCCTTGTGAATGTCTTGTCTTGGTTGATTTCTGGTGCTCTGTTTTAAAGCATCATTTACAACCTCACTTTAGCTGGAAGTTGTTACAATTGTTTTAATATTTTAATAAAATACAGAAGTTGTTTATTACTGTAGTTGCCAAGGAATGTACTTTTAAAGTTTTCTGTGAAACACTTAGCTTGTTACCAAAGTACTGCTTGTCTGTTGGGTGTCTTCAAGGTGTTTCTCCCTATTTTTTTAAAGGATGGTGGTGTATAAGAGCTGTGAACAACATCAGACTGTTCAAAGCACCTAAATGATTTTTTCTGTTGAATAATGAGTAGTTCAGATCTGTGTGGTCCTTTACATAATGTTGGTTGTACACAGAGTTGTGAATTTTCCCTAAATTTTTTTGTATTGTTTTTGTTTAATTGAGCCTGGTAATAACTTACAGTGCTTTCAAACATGATTAACGTTCTTGCTGTCTTTAGTTCAGCGCATGGTCTTGGACAATCAGGAACCGATTCTTAACAGACTCAAGGACATAAGAAAGGTAAATCTGAAAAAGAAATATGATCCTTTTTTATAGCAAGTAAGGAGTCCTCTTTCTTACAGAAAAAGTAAGTAATCAGTTACCCCCCCACACAGCTGGCTCATCTGTAGAGAAGCTAAGTGCTTGGACTGAAGTTTATTTCTGTTTGTGATATTCTCTAGCCGTAGAGGACTTGATTGCTAAGTTCAGAACTATTTGGGATTTGGTTTCATGATATCTTTTTGCCACATGTCACGTCGTTTATTTTTCTTTATTTTGGTAGACTTCAATACGTCAGATGAATCAAACAAGATTTTACATTGTGGAAAATAGTAAATCCATTGTACGAGTAAATTTATTTGTTGGTGGCCTTCCACCTCAGCTTTCCCCTGAAGAATACACAAATATTCTCAAGGAAGAATTAGCTATCAAATGTAAGTAAACAAGTGCATTTTGAGATATATTCACTTATACAAAATAAAATGTAGTAGCATATATTGCTCCTTTTTATTATTTTTTTCCCTAATGTTTTCTGACCTTATTTGAAAAATCAGTCTGCCTTGTATTCTCACAGGGGGCTTTTTTATTAATTTTAACATGTTCATGGTTGCATGAGAGGTGTGACAGCTCATTATTCACAGAATTATTATTATATTACATGAGTTCTATGTGACCAGGCCATTTTTTTTAGTGAAAAAGCATCACTTTTTAGAAGTGAACCATACCTACCTTACACCATTCAAATTATGGCAGTGCAGTTTAATTCTCTGTGCACGAATGTTCCTCGCCTTTATTAACCTCTGACGTTTTTTCATGAGCTGTCCTCCACGTTGTTCATGAGCTCTGTGCCTGGTCATGGAGAAGTATGAGCAGTGCATGCACACGCATATGGACAAGCAGACAGTGAGAAGAATTTATTTTTCTTTTTCAAAGAAGTATAATTGATTTTTCATAATACTCTTTCAACCAACTTGTTCTATAAACAGTGTCAGGAATGCGTCATGCTTTTTGTTTCAGGAAACGAAGCATTTTTCCCAATCCTTTATGTAACTTCAAGAGGAATTAAACTTTAAATACCAGAAAGAATTCATAGTCACCTTTTATGAAAATCAGTTTAGCTCTTCTAACTTGCAAAGTAAACTTAGGGGAGGGAAAGTGTTAGCTGGAGATTCTTCCTGTATTTGTATAACTTTTAATATTTATTTATATTATATTTATGTAACTTCTAAAAATATTTTAAATATTTACTCTAAATGTACCCAAGGTTTTATGTGTTTATATTTTTACCCTTTGCAGCAAACGTAGTATCTGTGAGTCATGTTTATCAAGCACAAGGTAAGCATTAAGATTTTTAGCCTTGCAAACGTCTATTTTCAAAACTGCAGCCTAATACTAGAGGCTCTAAGCTCAGAGTATGCTAGTCTTATTGCATAAGCAAAAAGCCCTTCAGATAAAATGTAACACATTGTATTTATGAAAAGCAGTGGATTAGTGTTACCTTATTAAAAAAAAAACTAAAAGGTTGGCTTCATGTCTCATGTACCAGAAAGTGGTAATAATTCATCATAAAAACAAATTTTGAAGTTGCACTTCAACTGAATAGTCTAACACCATTGAATTGTTAAAAACCCTTCAAGTGCTCTCTTTCTCTTTATTTTGACTTCCAAAATACTAAAATTTGGTGGTACTTTTGAACTTGATGGGATTGTTTAACAGTTACTGTTTCCTAGCATAGTGTTAAGTGGGGGTTCAGTGGCTGGAAGTCTGAAGAAAATCAGTACACTCATCTCTGCATTCATCCTTTGAGCTGTTGCTTTGGTTTTGCTGTGCAAATTTTGTTTCAGCAAGGTTGGAGAAGCTGCAAGGCTTCTGAGAGCCGGAGCAGCAGTGGCTCTGTGCAGCTGTAGTGCAGTGGTCAGAGGGAGATCTGCATTTGGTAAAACTTTAAAGTGTGGAATTTGTCTTTTGTACGTTAAGGTGTGCATATCCAAGATGTTTCACGTCCTTTGGCAGGCTTAACTTTCATGTGAACGCTATATGAATCTTTCTATAGCATGGTTTTGAAGACTGATGGGTGCTTCCTTTGTGTGTTTGCTGTCTCACGTGGCTAGTTAATACTGACTTTTTGTAAGGAAAACCATAAAGCTTTCGGATGTGCCTTCTTTTTATATTTGTCAATGGAGAATAGTTGGGTTTGTGATACTCCTCTCATGTCACAGCTTACTTTAACCAGGTTTACGTGCGTATGTTTTTTAGATATTTCTGCTTGTATGTGATTTTTACTGTTCTTTGTGGTTTTTTACTTTCTGAGTATTTTTATGTTTCTGATAACTTCCTGACTCTCGGGTTTTTTTGGTTGTGTTACCAGCTTACATCTCATATGCTGTCTGTTACGCACTTTGATCTTGTCCTGCCCCGTTTTCCTCCTCACTAAGCATCTTACTTTAAACTAACTCATCAGTATTTTCTTTTATTTTGTTTTTCCTTTTTGTCTTCCCTTCTTGCCCAACTTCCCCATACAGGACCTAAGCCGACATAAAGATCTTAAATTGATTCTCAAACCAAATCTTTGCTTGTAATAATTCTTACTGAGATATTGTCAGTGAATGGAACTACTGGATTTTTAATAATGAGATACAAAATGAAACCTGATACCTTTGTCATTTTTACATGATGGTAACAGCCTGTTAGTTGTGAAGAAGAGTATGGAAATAGGCCATACTTCTCAAGCCCAAAAGAAGTCTTTAAATATGCATCAGTTCTGGGCTGCAGTTCTTCTTGTCCTAAAACTGCTTTGCCTTAACAAAAATCTGTGGTGCATTTTGGGGTATGAAGGAAGGCTTAAAAAAAACCCAGCCTAATTCACTGATAACCAACAACCGCAGGTGTTACAGAGTAACTTTTACTGAGCAATGTCCTGAGTAAACTGAGTAAACTTTCATTGTGATATGATGATACTGATTTCCTAATAATAGAAAATATAAAAAAATACTTCTGATACCTCTTTACAGGTGCTGTTGTACTCGAAATTTCCTGCTTTTCTGAAGCTGAAAGAATATATATGCTAGTTAAAGATACAACTGTCAATGACAAGCCTCTGAATGCTGTGGTGATTCCTGAAGTTACGGTAAGAGATGGGATTGAATTTAAAATATGTCTTTAAAAGAAAAAAATTACCTCTAAGACTTTTTCTGCTGGAAGTAAATGAAAATACATTTTATTCAAAGGAGCCATACAGTGAGTTTCTGTAAGTAGCGTGATGAAAAAAAAGAGCCTGTACTTTTTGTCTATGATATACTTCTGTGAGTTAAGTCACTTGTCCTGTTACTGTTGAGTTGTCAGGAATAACTACACAACTGCATAACTATACAATTATAAAGGGGAGAAAACCAAATTTTTTTTTCCTCTTTATTTCTTTCAATGATCAGAAAGTTAGGTAGGGTTTTAGTTTTAGCTGGTGTGTCTTAAAATGCTTACAACACCTTTGGTTTGGGGACTAATTGTGTTTCCTCGCTAACCATGAGGTAAAGTACTGCTGCTAATTTTCACATTTTCAGTATCTTCATTTCCCCCATTCTGTAGCAGAGGGAGTTTGATGTTGTTTAAATGCTGCATTGTGGATTTCAGAGGAAAACAGTCTGCTGAAAGACTTAGTGCCAGGGTCCTTTTACAAATACAGGCTTGAATTCTCATTTATTAATTTTTATGGTTACAAACCACTTTCCTATGAATCAGTTAGTTTAATAATAGGTTTCATGTTAACATAGCAGTTTCAGGGTGAAAAGAGGAAAATGGTTCACTGAGCAAATTGATTTTTAACCAGGATGCTGTAGGTTCTTTCCAAAAGAGAGCGTAGCTGTAGTTACTTCCTGTTACTGTTTTTCCGGAGTTGCATTATGGCAACTGAAGTGAGGGTCTTGGTTTGACTTTTTAGAACTTCACAGAAGGTTGAAAACTTCAAAAAATACATAATTAGTGGGAACTATGAAACAACTTTAGAAGGGAGGATCTCAAGTTCAATAGCCATAGTTGCATACTTACATGCCTGCTTTTACCATTTTAAAAGTCCTATGCTTGTCAAAGTTTTCTGAAGGCAAAATTATTTTTTTATGCGAGCAGATACTAGTGGCAATGCTTGTATGAAACTGGCAAGATTAAAAACTATTCCCCCTCCAAATATAGTGAGTGCCTTGTTCCTATGCATGCATAGGCATTGTGTTTTGTAAAATCCTTAGAAACCACAGTTCCCCCTTGTCCAAACTAGGTGTCAGAGTTTCTGTTATAAGAAACAGAAGGCAGTGTGAAGATGGGACTGCTTTTTGATGCTTGTTTTCGGTGGTTTTTAGGCAAATGCATTACAAATGCATTATGAGCCTAGATTTGGTCCATGGCATGTGAAACTGAACATGCTCCCCTCTGTTAATTACATGTGTCTGGTTTTCTGGCACTAGATATGTTTGAAGTGAACTTCTTGATGCCAGGAAAATAAGGATAATGCTATCTGTTATCTGATGCAAGATATTTTTTAGAAACGCCAGATCAGGGGACTGCTAGGGATGAATTTCTAATATGTAAGAAGGAGAGAGGGGCTGTACACGTGCATATACATTTTGTTTCCATTTCAGGATGTATTATTTATATTTTGTCATCTCACTGAAATGAGCCAAGTGTTAATCTAAATCATATTTTGAGTGTTCATATGTGCTTTGGCCACCGAGCTTATGCCATTCAGTAATTAGGCAGAGTAAACTAATGACTGATTGTTGACCCTACTTTGGGTAGCAGTTTGACTAGATGACCTCCTGAGGTACTTTCCAACCTAGATTATCCTTTTATCCTATGATACTATTATCCTTTGTTTATACTTTATAAATGTGACCATTTAAGTACAGCACCAGGAAATAACTTATACAGGAACTGAGCACAGTAGTAAATTTATACTGTGTTTGACATTCCTCTTGTGGGTGAAATAGAAAGAAATTGGGAATGAAGGGCTACTGTGTAGTCTCAGAAGAAGAATGGGTGATGAAACAAAGGCCACAGTGGTTTGGTTAATGAATGATTTTTCCAAATTGCAACTTAAATAAAACAAACAAAACAACCCTTCTTAAAAGTTGATAAAAGAACAGAAGTAATTTGGTGGTTAGTGGGTTGCTAGTCCTTCATTTTTCTGAGGTGAGATTTGCTTACTCTGTGTCTGATATACCCGGTTTTAGTCTGGCATGGTAAGGTCTGCCAGAAAGAATTCATCTTCTTATGATCACTACTGAAAAGTTTGAATACAGAATCAGTTTGCACTAACTGCTTATTAGAAAGTCAAGCAATTAGTGTGATCGGATGTGTTGATCTGTTCTGCTGTTTCATGATCTCAGGCCTTTAAGAATTTAATCAAATGCTTTTTCATTTCATAATATTCAAATAAATGAAAATACTGTCTTCACTGGAGTGTTGAAAAAAATACAGTCTCTTACACAGCAGCTAAACAGCTTTGTAAAGACCTGCAAGGGCAGTTTGGTATCACTTTTTGGTAGCATGTCAAGGTGGAAGATATCGCAGGGCTGAATCTTTGAATTGAAAGCTAATTTACCAGAACTCTTTTTGCAGTACTGGCAAACAAGGAAATCAGCAGAGAGTTGTATGAGGCAAGTATCAGCATGAAGGTGACAAGTTTTTGTAGCTTTATCACTAATACCACTTACCAGTGGTTCCTTAAGAGTAGTAGAAAAAGATGTGGGAGTGTCCCGGATGGGTGAAACTTTCCATTTCATTCATTTCACTAATTCCTCACAAAAATGTGTCCAATGTAAAAAGCATAATAGTTTAATGACCTTCTTAGCCATAACACCATGAAAGGTTACTTTCCACCCTTCTTCCACCGCCGCAGTTCCCCCAGAAGTACAGAAAAGGCTTGAGCTCCTACTGCATTGACCCAGCTGCTGCTCCAGTTGCATTGAGACACCTTGCACATCATTCCTCATCGGATGCAATGACTCTTTTCTGGCCAGGGTGGAGGAAGTCTGTGCTTGGGCATCATGAGTCCTTGCACATGGGAGATGCTGCAGACAGCCCACTTGAAATGTTGAATTTTACTTGTCATTTAGAGATAATCTGCAGTTCCTGGAGACAGCCCACCACCCTGGAAGATGCACCATGGTTGTTGTGCTGGCAGGCCTGTGGCACAGAACACCTTGTTCTGCCTTGTTGTGAGGTGTGATTACACAGTACACTCAAACAGAAAGGGTGTTAGGGTGGATAACAAATGTCTTGCCCCTGCCTGAAGACGCAGTGTGCTAATCCGGACAAATTAAGCAATTCACAGTGACTGTCAGAGTGTCTAAATCACACGGCTTCCTTTATCTGTCTCTAAGAAACGAGCAATAAATTCCTTCCTGAACACCAGCCAACACAAAACCCCTCTGCAGATTTCATTCTTCAAGCAGAGCACTGAAGCCAGGGCTAAAGGGGGAAGGGAGTCCTCAGGCTGTGAGTCACACATCCCCTTCTGCCCAGTAACAAACTCCTCGTATGTCCCCACTGGGGCTTTATTAAGGGATTAAAAAACATTCTGCAGCATAAGAGTGCTACCCTTGTGGCCGTCTGTAACGGAGCATGTACTTTTCAGAAAGCAGCACAGCAGGCATGCTCTGCTGTAGAAACTGTCAGAAAAAACCTCCAGAAAACAGGAGGTTTTAACTCCTACTGAAGAATAATTGTTTTCTTGGAAGCTGGCCTTTATCTAGGGATTCAGCAATGTTTCTTACTCCTTTAAGTTTAATGAAGGGTGATGATGGGAAGCAAGTTAACTCTAAGGCTAAGCACTTTCTAGAATACTTCTGTTTATTCTACAGAGGTGAGTTTAGTCCTAAATAGGTATAGTTAGGGATTTACATTAGAAGATACTTGCAACACAGATGGTTTTGAGTGGTAGGACTGCTCAGTTTATACCACATACAGATATTTTGTTAGCTCCACGCGTTCTCCACAGCTGCTTGTGAGTCTTAGTAGCATTCAGGGTAAATGTTTCGCTTTTTTGTTTTTGTACAATATTGACACTTGAGAATTAGGAAGTTTAGATGGCAGTTTTGTAGAAACTAAATACATATTTGCAACAATATATATTTGCTTGAGTAAGATCTCAGACAACTTTCCAAAACACAGCTGCGCTTTTGAATGCCTTGGAGCTTACCACGTCTCAGAAATCATTGCAATTCCCTGAAGTTCCTTGTGAATTATTTTAGTTACTTGGTTTTAAACCCAGTGCGTTAGAACTTGCCTGTAAAAGCAAGTAATGTAAAACATGTGTTGAATATGTCACTTCTAAATGTCCAAACCCAGTATTTTTAGAAACTGATTTCCTGAAGAAGAGAAGGTAATCAAATGTTCTTGTCCATATTCAAGTAAGGTATTTGTTTTACTTGAATTTTGGGCTAGTTTCTTTTCTCTCATTCTTTTTTGAAAAACTTTTTGTTTACTTTGAGCTGCAGAACTGAACATTTTTTCTTTCTGTTATACCCTTGCTCCCCATTTTTTTAAACCCCACAAATTTCTGGGTGTTGGACCAAGGCTGAGGTTTCAGATTGTTCAGAAAGTTGAAATGACTGGAAGTGAAATTTAAATAGTAAAAAAGCTCTGAAGAGGAAGAAATGGGAAGTGGTCAGGTGGGAAGGTAGGGCAGAGTAGAAGCTGGAACAAGGAGTGCAGGAAGGGAACAGTTTGCCCTGTTAGCGCATGGGACGTGGCGTTTCCTTTTAGAGCTGCTCTGCCTTCTGTTGCTTGTGGGACTTTCAAAGGACCATTCATAATGGGATATGGCAGATGATGGTGCAGGAATGGATGGAGTAATGAGAAGGGCTTTACTTCTGGGAAAGACAGAGCTCTGCTTACTATTTTTACTAATGCCTGTGATGGATTGAGGGGAGGAAATCCACTTCTATTGCTGGGATGTGTGGATCCTTGAGCTGTGGACCTTACAACTCAAGAAGTCCTTCCGTTTTGTGACAGTGGCATGCACTGTTTTCCTTAGTCTTCCTTTGCTAGCTAGAAATATCCTTTCCATGTGCTTCACAGAAATAAACATATTACCCTTATTGTGTGTTGGACACACTTTGAATAGTTGCTTCCCCTTTTCCAATAAAGCCTGAATATGGAGGCAAGAGGTGTTTTGACCTAGCAGTCGTTCACAGTATAGTGTGAAGGTGGTTCCTCTGTAGAAAGCCGTGTGGACGGCTTTACAGTCTCTGTCTCGCCAACCTAGTTGTTTTGCCAGCAGTGAAACCTTTCCAGCAAAACAAAATTTTGAGGCTCTTCTGGCTCTTTGTCAGTGAAAATAGCCCTTGTTTGGCTAATTTATTTTTTTTTTAGAAGACGTACATATTTTCAAACTGAATGTCTCTGGTAGAATCTAAAGGATGAGGAAGGAAGGGGCAAGAGAAGTGTGTGCCTGCTTAGTGTTCCTCTTCCTGGTGTGTTTTCTGTTTGTGCTTTTGCAAGTCACGCTCCATGGCAGAGGGCATTTCTCATGCAGGTAGTGTCACAGAGGAGAAGGATTTTTATGTGTTTGCTTGTATCTTGACGCATCTGGCAGGATGTGGCTTGCAGAGGATTACCACCCAGCCCTTTTAGGAAAGCAAAATCTGAGGAAATCTCTCAGATACTGGGAAGCCCCAAACGATCATTTGTTTTTAAGCACCCAGATCAGCTCACAGATAGATGATGGTCTGGGGTGTCTCAACATCAGACTCCAGTTTGCTTCCCCACAAAGTTACTCATTAATTTGTCCTGATCTCTCCATTCTTCGCCTTGGTTCATGCTCTCTGGTGGTCACTCATAGACAGCAGCCGACACACTTTCTGGGTGCTGTCTCCTCTCCTCTGTAGCTCTTGGTATCTCTCCACGTTTGCACGCTGCGGTCATGCTGCTGCCTTGCCACCCCCTGAATCATTCTTGTCTAAATTGACTTATATTTAGCACTGTTATTCTGTTCCCTGAATCCATCCTGTCAGCTGCGTGACAAATTGCTGTTCCCTGAATGCTGTCCAATTTGTAAATACAAATTACCATAACTTAGGGACTGTGACAAACATTTGTGTTTTGAAGCGCACTCATTGAAATGCCCAATGGACTTTTCTGATGTGTACCTGCCCCGCAGCCCTGTGGCAGGACGAATGAAAGGTGTGCTGGTGTTTTCTGATCTTTCTAGAACCATTTACAAATCATTTTCTGGAATGATTTATGGGCTGGCTGGCTGAAAACCAGTCCCAAGGGAGTGCTTCTGGTGGCTGGAAGTTCTGACCTCTGGTGAGGCTGCAGGTATCGTTCCTGTGCAGTCTGTAGAGTATCCCAGGATATCCTCCTTCTGCCATGGGCAGTGGCTTCCTTTGGAGTGGTTTCTGGATGGGCTGTGCTTTGACAGCCCTTTGAGCAGCAGCTTCAGTAGAGGTGTGAGGATCATAAGACACTGGCACCAAATCCTCCTGATTAAAAATTTTAAATACATATTTTTTTAAATAAGCTTTCAACCTCTTCATGGGGAGGGGCATGCCAGTGTGTGCCCCGAACATTCTCATTTTGAAATGTTTTGTCCTTATAAATTAGCATGTATTCTAAGATGACCACAAAACTTAAGACAAATGTTTCAGTTGGTTTTCGAAGAAGTTCTCTCTTCACAACAAATGTGTTCGAGTTGTACATGACTCTGGAAGGTACCTTATCCCTCACACTATTCTTTGGCATAGACTGTTTACTGAAAATCTTTAGGAAGGACTACTTACAGTGCCTTTGTTTTTAATGTGAGGCTCAACTGTGTAGCTGGGAGTGTGTTAAGGAAACTTTAGTTCCCAGAAAACCAAGATCAGCAGCTAACCAGTCCATTGTCTGGACATTGAATCTTTTATTTATTGAATCTGGATTTTTTTTTTTAACTAAACATCAAGGAAACATCAGGAAATACTTCTGAGACTCAGTAGTAATTTTGCTGCCTAGTCATGATTTTGGCTAATCCTTTTTCTTGTCATCTTTCAGGCTTCCAAGATACCACAAAACTGCTGCCCACTTCTTGTATTTGTGAATCCAAAAAGTGGTGGTCTAAAGGGTCGGGATCTGCTGTACAGTTTTAGAAAGCTGCTAAACCCACATCAGGTCTTTGAACTTACCAATGGTGGCCCACTGCCTGGGTAAGTCATCATATTTTTCATTTTTTTTTAATTTATGTTGTTTTGGGTTTTTTTGAAAGGATGGATCAGATTCAATTGTTATGAAGATCTAAATTGCTTCTGTTCTGTGCCTGAAGACCAGAGCAGTGGATCACTTGTTCTGACTGGTTCTCACTGTGAAAACAGATTTAAACATTGAGGTTCCCTAACGAAAAGAGAATAGAGTAGTTCCTGATGCATGATGCTTGTGTCAAGTCTAATAGGGTCCAGTCCTGGGAAAGTCACATGCACTTTACAATAACACAGATTTAATAATTATTAAAATAAAAAGATTTTATAATTAAATGGGGATGGAAAGAGAAATGTCACATTGCCTGACAAGGGCTTGTATTTGGCTTTATTTCCTCTGATGTTTCACAGGAACTAACAGGAAAGTATAATAAAATTTCCTATCTTGACTCCTGAAATTTAGCCACAATTGCAGAATTAACAGGGCCTGCCTGATCACAGCTGCAACATTTCTAAATGCAAGGAACAGAACATAATGTGCTTGTAGGGAGGCAGGAACCGATTACTTGATTTAATCAACACCACTTTGTCACCAGCTTCATAAAACTGAAAGTTATGGTTGTAGCCTACTCAGAGCAGCCTCATTCCTTCAGCACTTTTTTACAAGGAACTGTCATGACAAGCTCTTCAAAACAAAAGCTTTCATGGCAGAAATGCAGCTTATGCGGGAGGCAAGAAAAGCAAGCTGCACAAACTAAGGTTTTTGTCAGAACTGTATAATTCTGTTGTCTTTCTAATGCAGCTCAAGCTCCAACTTCAGTAATGCATTCATTTTGTTTTGCCCATGGAATCCTTCTGTAGTTTTATGGCAAAATGCTTCCACTTGTTCCTTGCTTCTTGTGCAATGGGAAATAAAAATTCCTTTGCAGGGTATTTCAGTATGTAGGATGAAAAGCCACAAAAGGTAAGAGCGACAAGGAATATAGAAGAAGATGTGCTAGAAGTCCTATGACTAAGTAAAAAGAAAACCCCACCAGTAATCAACATCTCCACTAGGATTTAGAGGGTTATAAATGTTCACACTGAAATGATGAATAGTTAGATCTCTGTGTCTTTGGTGCAAAAGGAAGTGATTAACAATTTAGCTGTGAAGAATCTTAGAATGATGTGGTTTTCACTCTTTTTAAACAGCTTTATCTAGAAGTTCCTATTTTTCCATTTACTTTGTTGAAGTTGATCCTGAAACTGATTTGGGGCAGGGGGAGGGGTCTGGGTTCGGGCAGCAGAATCCAATAATAATGTGTTATCTTAAATAGTACATTAAGAGGCTTCGCTTTTCCTGTACTATATTGTAACAGTTCTTTTCCCCTTTGCTTTGTTTCTCAATGGAGGTTTCACACGTTCTCTAAAATCCCCTCCTTCCGAGTGCTGGTGTGCGGAGGGGACGGCACCGTCGGCTGGGTCCTTGGTGCGCTGGAGGAGATCAGGCACAAGCTGGTGTGCTCAGAGCCCTCAGTTGCCATCTTACCTTTAGGAACAGGTGAGAATCATAGCAAGCGCCATTCTTCTTCTGAAGGCAGAAGTCCTCCAGAACGTTTATCTTTGTTTATCCGCCTGACAAACAACTCAGTTTTGCAGTAGAGATGCCATGACTCAGTTCTGGCCAGTGTTGGATAGCAAATGCAACATCAGCTTTTCAAGGAAGTGACAGTCATGCTTTCTGAAGGAAAAACAAGTGGCAGGAGTGTTGGTATGGGTGTGTCCGAGTGGGCAGGAGTTGGACAGGGCAAAACATTCTCCCCCTGACAACCACAGGTGCATCAGCCATTGCTGAAAACCAGCGAACTCAGCTGCTCCCTGACTTCTCACCTCCATAACAGGCTTTGCCATCACTTTTTGTGAAAACTTTTCAGATGAGACAGTGTACCTGTATGTGATACTAAGCACATGTGATGCTTAGATATTTTCTCTGCTTGTTAACTTTTCAGTCCAATCTCACTACTTCTGTGACTTGTTTGGAGTACCTTAATGCGATTTGATTTGTAAAACAGGGTTGATGCACTTTTTGATGCTTTTAGCTAGCTTACGAAATGCAGTTGTTCTTCATTGTTGCCCAGGTAATGACTTAGGGAGGGTCTTGCGATGGGGAGCTGGCTACAGTGGGGAGGACCCGTACTCAATTTTGGTTTCTGTGGATGAGGCGGATGACGTTCTTATGGATCGCTGGACTATCCTTCTGGATGCAGAAGAGCCAGCTGAAGGTGCAGAGAATGGTATTGCAGAACCTGAGCCTCCAAAGGTGAGCTGAGCACTGTTTGGGTTTGATTCTTAGGAACTGTTGTTCTAGCCAAAATCACAAAGAAGATAGTTACTAACGTAGTTTAATCTTTTATTGCTCACCTATCTTTGAGCTTGGACCTTACTGAGCTATTCCTTAGGGAACCCAGCATATGCCTGAACCTAGTGCTTCAGTTTTGGTAGGACTGGTTGGCTGCAGAACACACTTCGTAGCTGTTTGGCAAAAAGTATCTGGTAGAGGATTAATGAAAAGATTCAAGTAACAATGGCATACCTATTTGCTTCAGTTGGAAAGAAATTTATTTCTCAAATAAGAAGAGCTTTTTGAAGGAATGCCAAACACTTTCCAGAACACTAGTGAAACTGGAGTGTCGACCAAAACCAAACAACCCCATGCCCCCCCAAAAGTACTCTTATCTTTCCTCTAACAGTTTAAAAAATGGCTGAGTTGCTAGCATATACAGGAAGTAAATACTTCTGTCATCTTACTGGCATTGCGTGTCTGTATTTGTGGCATCTGTTGTATTTTTTTTGAATGAAAGTCCCTGTCCTTTGGTTTGTATTACTTGTTTCTGTTTAGGGAAATAAAAATGCTGGTTGTAGATGGTGACTTCAGAGCTTTGTGTGAATCCTGGTTCTGGTTATCTTCAGACAAAACAAACAAATTGGACAATGGGGTGGCAAAAAGGAAGTAGGAAATTGTAATAATGGTAGCAATTGTCTAAGATGGTAGTCCAGTCACTGGAAAATGCTAGGCATTATGTGTCACTTGGAGGATTTAAGTTGCTCAGGTTCCAGGTATTTTTCACTTGGTGGAGACGGGTTAATCTACCCTGGGTACCTAATCTCCTTTTTAAAGTTGAAGGGCAGGAGAGTCAAGGGCTAGGTTAGAAAAGTTATGGGATGCACTGGCATGCAAAGGAAAAATTAATTGCAGAACCAGAAATGGTTGAAATCTGTAGAAACTTGAGACTGGTGTATAGGGAGCTATTTAAAATGCAGCTGAGCGGGTGAAGTCAAGTTCTTCACTTATCTGGCATAACCTGGTCACCTTCCAAAGTAAGGAAGAACATCTTCCCAATGATGTCATGATAAATCCATGGCTGATGCCAAAAATAATAGTGGCATGAGTGTTCAGCAACTTGTGTAGTTATTGCATAGAATTGCTTTGAGAAGTTGGTTTGGTTTTATTTCTGCATTTGTTTTTATTTCTGCCTTATTATGCTTGTTACTTGCAATTAAGATTAAATTTTTAAGTTTCTGGTACTTCGGAAATAATGACTACACATGTCAACAATTGTCCGTACAGCTTTAGTTTTAGTGCAGTGTTTCTGGAAAATGTTTTCCAGGATCTGTCAAGATCAAATGACTTGGATCATCTGAAAAGCTTGTTTTTGTTGAAAAACTTTGGAACCTCTTCATTTATAAACCTAAGGAGGAAATAATACTTTTTTTTTTTTGTCAGATTGTACAGATGAACAATTACTGTGGTCTTGGCATTGACGCAGAGTTGAGCTTGGACTTTCATCATGCTAGAGAAGAAGAACCAGGGAAATTTAATAGCAGGTAATCCTGGGGAAACCAAGGGTGAAGGGCAAACTCTGGTATTGCGTAACTTCCAATTTACACTATGGCTGATAATTGTAAAATGCTACAGGTATCCACAAACAGTATTGCTTGAGGCAGAGCTGGCACAGGGAGGCGTTAAGTTAGTCAGGAACTTGTAGACACAGAATTTGGTTTGGGGAGGGGCGGGGAGTGTTGTTTGGTTGGTTTGAGTTTGTTGTTTTGGGGTTTGGGGGGGGTTCTGCCTTTACCAAGAGAGAACACCAAAGCAGTTTTTGGAAGCCCTGTCGTTATTATTCAGTGTACTTTTTTGCCAATAACTGCAATTTTGAGGTAGTGGAAAAATCTCTTACTCAAAGCCTTTAGCAGGAGGGAGGGCAGTGCTGCTATGTGAGTAATAAACACACTGTTCAGAACTTCTTTGTACCTTTCCCAGCCTTGCTTAGTTCTGTGGTAGCACCTGCATGCTGGTAATGAGGATAAAAAAAGATCTCTGTGTCTCAAGTGAGACTGAATGATTAAAAAGGTATGGAGAGAGACCTTCCGCCTTTCTGGCACGCAGATCAATCAATAATAGTACTTTTTCTTCTTCCCGTTATCACTGATGAGAAAAAGAAACCACATTTGTGTAATTAATCAGTAATTCATTGTAGAAACTGGTTTTGTCTGCTTTCCCCTATGCTTGTGAGTAAATGTTCTCTAAATTGTCTCTTGGTTGCCAGAGACAGTTACAGCCAGTTACAACTATGCAGTATTCAAATCCTAACTATTAAAAATATTCTCTGATGGGTTATGAGTGTAATGATGTGCAATCCCACCTATCTTGCAGTGTTATATCTATCATTGCAGGCTTTGCTCATGTTTTGTCTTAAAAATGGAATAATACAGGATATTGTTTGTGGTACATAAATTACTATTAAGCATTGGTTTGCATTTTCAATCCACTGAATTAAAAACATCATAGGTCATAAAATCAGGCAATAATTTTGCATATAGCAGTGCTTGTTCTAGTGTATAAAACTGTTCTAGATTTACTTGTGCAATTAATATAATGTAAGAGTTACATTCATTCTTCCTTTAAAATACACTACCCTGCTTTTGCAAAGCTGCAGCACTTTAAAAGATATGTCCTTTTCTTAATGCTACTGTATTTACGGGTTGTACTTTGACTTTTATTGCCCTGTGTGCTTTTCATCCCTTGAATCTTTATCTCAGTCAGTTCATAGTGTGCAGCATGTGCAGTGCAGTGGGTGATGACTTGGTACCATTCTTGCAGACCTTTTACATGCGTATTCAGACACCATGCAAGCAGGGTGTCTTGGAGGGTGTGCAGGAAAGAGGTGATTTTTTTTTTTTGTAAATCTGAAGGGCTGTATATTTCTGTGATTCAAGATCTGAGAAAGAAACATGAAATAATGAGTTGATACTGAGCTACAGTTTTGCAGGAGACAAACAGCTTGTGCAGCTAACAGTGCTGACACATGATTGTTGCCTTTCGCTGCCTGTGATGATGATTGTTAAAATTGCTGGCTTTACTCTTTCCCAGGACATGCAAACGCATGCTCTTGCCAAGAGATTAGCATGTTTTTATTATTATTTTCAGTAAATTAACTGAGAAGGATGGCTACTTAATGCCAGATGCAACAGCTGCTGGCATGTGAATGGGCTGCTCCTGAGTGCAGAACAGGAAGTTTCAGGTTGTGACAACAGAAACTGCAGGTAGTCCTTGCGAGAAAAATGGGCTTGAGTGCTCTTCTGAATCAAGATCTTAAGCTGGTAAATGTCCTGAAAGCTGTGTGCTCTCTGTCCTCAAGCTGTATAGTCTCTTTACACGCTCAGGACTCCCTACCTTTGGCTTTCCCCCCTGGAGAGAATTCAGTGCTGAACTTCCATTGCAGGGCAGATAGAAATAGTTTATGTTCCTGCAGTGATGGTTTTTATGTTGTTGAGTGCCAAGCTATGTGAGGTTTTTTCACACTGTAAAATTTAAGGATCAGGGCATCTGCCTTCATTCCCCCATTCCCATGGGATCCTGGAGCCATCTTTAGGGTTGTCTGTTACAGAAGAGACCACATCTTGTTTGTGGCACCCAAAATTGGCAGGAGACTGCTGTGGCAGGCAGTCTCATGAATGTAAGGTTAGGCAGAGAGAATATTCTGCATGATTTAATGCAAGTTTAGAATTGTTTTACAAAGATACAGAACTGTTCTTTCTCTGGCTGGGCTGGAGGGAGGTTTGAAAGTACTGGTTGTTTTATTTTTTGGTTGTGGGTTTTAAAATGCTACAATGGCTACTGTCTAACTCATTTTTTTCCATCTTGGGTCCTCTGTATGTGAACCTGGTAAAATTCTTTCCCAGTCAGTAAGATTACCCTAATAAAAGCAGCCTAACAGATTCTAATTATTGGTCAGAGCTCTTCGCTTTTGCAGTGGTGGTTTCCCACCCAGTGGTGGGCTTGTTGAATTGCAGGACTAGATAAAAAGCGGTCATTTTGTTTTGCTTGATAGCTTTCTGTGCTGTGTCCTGCAGTTCTGAGAGGTTTGCTTCTGAGAGATGTTACCTAGCAGTTTAGTAGTGCTCAAGGGAAATTGCAGTTCATTTAAAAAGGCCTGGCACACAGATTTCTTATCCATCATCTTTAAAAAAGAGTTCCCCAAACCTACCCTTCTGAGTGTGCAGCAGTTGGCAAGAGCTTTGAAAAGTCTGGCTTTCTGCATCAGCTCGCTTCATTTCTTCCCAAGTCTTGAGGACTGGCTTCTTTATTTTCTTTTCATGAAAGCTTGGAAAGCAGTTGCTGATGGTCTTGCTTCCTCTGGCCACCAGAGGTGCTTGCTGCTTAAGCAACAACCACAGAGGTGATTTAAACTAACAGTCTAAGGTGATGCTATGGTGTCTCCCTGAGTCTATGGAGACTTGTTCATGGGACTTTTAAAAAGTAAAGGGTATTTTTCAGTTTGCTCTACCAGGGATAAATACAGGATTGCAGTACTTTAAAAAGCAGTTGTTTACTTTCATAATCCATTAAAGTGGTCCCATATAGGATCACCTTTTAACTTTATCTATTCTGAGATACTCAATTAGCTAAACTGAAGAATCAGTCAAACCTTCTGAAAGTCCCTCTGGAAGGGTGTATGCAGCCTTATGGGTGTAGCCAGTGGGGCATCAGGTAGTACATGAATGTTGGCTATACTTACAGTGCATCTTTTGTAGAAAAACAAACCAAAGGGTGATTCCTGAGCTGTGTAGGTCAAATTCCCAAACTCATTTGAGCAGTAGGATGTTACTTCCATATCTGTACTCTAGAGAGCCTTCCAAATAGTTCTGGGATGATATAATGATGCAAGTGTTGCAGCCAAGCTGATGCAAGGACTCACTGGCTCCATGGGGATGGATGAACTGCATGTAACGCCCTGCCCTCCTCTCTCATCCCCATCAGTGTCATTTACAGCAGTGACTGCAGTGTGTCCCACCTAATACAAAACTTGATTTCCTTCAGCAAAAATAAGGTGTTGGAGACTGCTCCAAGGACAACTTCCTCCTTCCTGCCATGCTAATTAACTGTGGTGAAACTACTGCCTGCAAATCAAGGGTTTGCTTTAGGAGATGCTTATTCTTTCTACCCAAGTGGGCAAGCTAGTATGTTATTAGCTACTGGTAGCAGTAGGCTGACAACTTCCACTGGCACTTTCTCCCCGAATCATGTCCCACATGTAGTTGTGCAAAGAAGGGTGGTGATTCTCTCTAAGTGGTGGATGTGCAAAGATCACCCTTCTAAGCTTGGCTGGCCATTTTAATCATAAAATCTTTCAGTCACCTTCAAAACCCTTGGATAGGAATTGGTGTGGTAACATTACATTCAGCCAACACTTTAAGAAGGGAAGATTTTTCTGTAACAAAATTTCACAAATCTCCGCATGCCTCAACAGCACAAATCATCCCCTAAGTAAAAGGTATATAAAGTTCATGGCTTATGCTTTGTTTCTGCAGTAAAGCTAGAAGAATTTGGAGAGGGGTTTAATTGAAAAACTCTTTTAAATATACCTGTTAGAGGACAATACTGATATACGTACAAGGAACAGTGCTATGCTGGGCCTTATATTTTAGTTACAGGATGCTTGTCTGCTGCTAGGTTTCACAACAAAGGAGTGTATGTGAAAGTTGGGCTGCAGAAGATAAGTCATACCAGAAATCTTCACAAAGACATAAAGCTTCAAGTGGACCAGCACGAGGTGGAGTTACCAAGTATAGAAGGACTCATTTTTATTAATATACCCAGGTAAAAAGGAGAGGAGGGATCCTGTGTGTATGTGTGTGTGTGGAAATGCTGCTTGGTATTTAAGCATCAAATGTTTTTGGTTATTGCCTGACTTGCTGGCTTGCCACTGTGCCTAAGAAACTAGCTTTTAATACCATTTTGACATCGTTTTTCTGATCCTTTGAAACTCACAATCTCACTTCTCTTAAAGGTGGCACTATCTTGTTTTCCCAGTGCAAACCCCTGTACATTTGCTATTTCTTCTGTGTCCTAACAGTAATTTGGTAAGATTTCCTCACCAAAGGTGTTCCGACATCTTTTGGAGCAGTTTTCTAGTAAAACATTACTTTTATAGGCATGGTTGTAGGCATGTGGCTTCTGTCCACTACTATTTTCCCCCTCCCCAAAACTGTTTGAACGATTCACCAGATTTCACCATGACTTGTAGGAAGATCAAAGATGATCAGCTTATACTCTCTGGCATGCTAGAGACCAGGTGCCTAAGCAATTCCTGCAGTGAAGGCCAGCCAGGATTCAACTGTCAAACACTGTCCAGGTCCCACAGCCAGCTGGTTGGTATATGTGGAGTTGACGATGCTACCTGGGTAGCTGTGGAAAACCCACAGTTCAGGTACCTTTTGCAGGGTTGTGGGGACTGCCCTGACACCTGCAGGGAGCTAGGGTTACTGCTGTGGAAGAAAGGAAGACAAATCTGCAGGAAATCTGGTTTCCTTAGATGTGCTGTTGGTAGAGGCAGGGGTTTTGTTTGCACAAAATCAGCAGGTAATTAGTGCTGCCATACAATTATTTTTTTTTTCAAGTACACTCTTATCTTAGGCTACCAGTATCTTTTTCCATTTTAGTCTGAAAATGTTTCAACTTTTTATTGAAATGTATATATTTACATGTACACATACATATGTGCACAGGCACATACACACAAGTATATGTTGCACATGAGAACTGTGGAGAAGAAAAGATTGTGATTAGTACTGAGCAGTCAATGCAATAAAGTGAGTGATTTGAGGAAGGAGGGTCAATACTGCACAAAAAACAACACAGTGTTAAATTGTCAGAAGCATTTCAGAGGATCAAAGTGCAGGAATACCTGCTTAACTACAAATGAGTTTGGCCAGGTACAAGAATAAAAACTTGATATTTGTTTTAGCTTTAGTTTCTCTTCAGTAGCTTCCATGAATATTGTCAAGATCAGTAAGATCTATGTTAAGTTCTTAAGTCTTGGAAGTTAAGGGTTAATGTAGCTGTAAATCGCGTTTTGCAGTGAACTAAAACTCTTTGGAGTTACTTTCTTCTTGCCTACTCTTTTCTTTCAAATGGAAGCTACTTACTTCGCCCCTTCTTTGACTCCTGAAAGATCTTTTTAGAAGTCTGCCAAATTTTAGGCAAACACTTCCTGCTTTTACAGTGCAGGAAAGCTGTTTGTCTCCTCCAGCTGCTGGGGAGAAGAGTGTCTAGCTTTTGAAGTCTGGTGAACCAGCCACCCCTAGCAGGGTGCTGGGCCGGGTGCTCTGTGGCAGACGGCAGGTCCACCGATGGTCACTGTGGTGTGCTCTCTACACAGCTGGGGGTCTGGAGCCGATCTCTGGGGGTCTGAGAGTGATAACCGCTTTGAGAAACCACGCATCGATGATGGCCTGCTGGAAGTTGTTGGTGTGACTGGTGTTGTTCACATGGTAAGTTGGCATCCCAGTAAGAACAGAGGAAACATATTTTCTCAGACTGCTTATTTTTGTAACAAACAGTGCTTTCCAAGTGCGTAGTCCTTAAAAAGTATGCATCTATGTTAAGATTATACCATCGTTTATTCAGGTGCTTGTTGCGTCATGCAGAAATGGTTATAGACCATAAACAGAATTCATGGGAAGTGTTGGCTGTCTGTGAACAAAGCTTCCAGATGTCGGGAGTTCAGCTGTGGCTGGTATGCCTGTTCATGGACTGCAGTGCCCTCTCATTGTCTGCTTACTGGGCTGCCCTGAAGATCCATATTTAGGTGCCAGACTACTACAGATGGAATGGAAACTGAAGAAACCTGTGGTTGGATAAGAAGTAATAGGAGTGTGAAGAATTTGTTAAAATTGCATGGGGAAATACTTCCTGACTTAAGTAGGCTTTGAACCAAGGCCCGAAACATACATGCATACATATATATGACATGCAAAAAAAAAAAAAAATATATATATATACACATGTATTGTGGAATTGTTAGGGAAGAAGTTGCTGCCCGGGCATTCACACATCAATCAAGGAGTCGCACACACACCAGCCTAGATTTTAACAGCTAGGACTGGAGTCCCTTCGCAGCGGGCAACTCCAGTGAGCCCATGGGTGCCCCTTTTGACTCCTCACACACACACTCTCACCCTCAGGCACTTCTTCTTCCCTTAGGCTCAACCCTAGGTTCCCCGAAGCAGAATCTCTAATCAAGGCCTTCAAAAGAAAAAGCGTAATTTGTTCTATCCATGGTGCACAAATTTAGACCACTCGAGCTGTGTGCCCCCAGAGTGAGACCCCAAACACTAAAATCTCTGGGCAGTTATACCCTTACAGTCGAAGTTTCTGCCTCTCACACCATAGTCTGGTCCAAGAGTAATATTCAGGCCTGGGGTCATCTTCTCTCTCATTGGGTCCTTCTTCTCTTCTCTAGGCAGGTTCTTTCTCTTTCTGTTTTTTTAGGCTAGTTGTTACTATCTCTGCTTTTCCTGGCTCAAACTGATTCTGGGGCTTTCCAAATCTTATTCCTCCAGTCAGAGAATAAATAGGTCAACATTAAGCAAAAGCATTAAGAAAGCTATGAGTTCTGCTTTGTCATGAGCAAGTACCTTTAAGCAGCTAAACAAAGTTCTTAAAGCCCTCCAAAACATATTAACAGCCTCTGTAACTTATATATGTTCCTGTGCTATTATAGCCTCACAATCTTATCCCATTATTGCCACGTGCAGTTTATGTCTCTTTTGGGTGTCTTCCACATGCTCAGCTTTGTTACCTTCCACAACAGAATGCACTAGCTTTCTCATAATAGGTATTTTAATATTACAAAAACACTCACTCTTCACTTGGTGTATTTGCAAAAAATCTTTTCATCCCTCATCACAATCAGGGCAGAGATTCCTTTGAGACAGGTGGTTTTATAATTGTCTGCCACGGGCTTTCCAACACCCGTCTCTGAGAATCTGATGCTAGCTGCTCTTGATCTGAATGCTACCTGAAGGAGACGGTATGCCAGTTCTGCAAAGAATATTTTGACTCAATTTGTGCAATTTTAATTCTTCCATGTATTAACGTATTTTTACAATGGCCTGCCATTAGCAACACAGTCCTGTGGGATGGTGGGTTATTTTTGTCTTTTCTTCATATCTCTTTCACTGTCTTAAGAAATCTGCTGCTGAAAAAGTGTATGTGGTCAGGTAACTAGAGCCAACTAATCCATACAACAATGGAAAGGTGGGTACTTAAAATTGTTTGTGAAGCTGGATCTTTGGTGTTGGCCAACTTCACCATTTTGTAATTTAGATCTTTTAAAGAAGACAAAACATTCCATTAGAAGAATTGGTTTGTTAGAGATCCTTCAAATTTTTGTGATGTTAGAAGCAACAAGGAGTATACCCGTTGCTTTGGAATATAAATGTTAACAAACCTGTGCTCTGGTTTTGTGATCTTGTGTTAAGGTTTTTACCCCCATGTTTAGTGTTTGTACACATTCCCCAAGAGAATGTGTAGCAGCAAAGTTCACTTTGCTTCACTTTTTACAGTTAACACTCAGCCATTAGTTGTAGTTGAGTGTATATATATGTGTATATGGAGTTGAGTTTGGCAAAACTCTCCCTGTTTGATGAAGTGCTTTTAGACTCTTGAGTTTCACGTGTGCTGAAGACTGTGTATATGGTTAGGTGTTTTGAAAATGTGTTTACTGTGTTACGGAGCGGGGAGAGTAAAAGCAAACAAGACCTTTGTGAATGCATGCTCCTTGGCCAACCTGAGTGTACAAATGACTTCACTGTGTAAGTTACTTTGCCTCCAGCAGCCTGCAGGGATATCTGAGTTCTTCTTCATGCGCAAACTTAAATAATTAATGTTGCATCCATAAAGGCATCCTATGCAGATTTTGCCCAAGCAGTTCTTTTACTTGAAACTTAAAATGTCAGGTGAGAATAAAATTCTATCCACCCAGTTTAAGTGCAGCTAGTATTTGTATTTCTTATTTATTGGGGTGACTGATATCCTGGCTTTTACTTCCTAACAGGGTCAAGTCCAAGGTGGTTTTCGATCAGGAATCCGCATAGCTCAAGGCTCATATTTTCGTGTAACACTCCTAAAGCCCATTCCAGTTCAAGTTGATGGAGAGCCCTGGATTCAGGCCCCTGGCCAGATTATTATTTCTGCTGCAGGACCAAAGGTACTGCCTGTAGGTTTGTCTTAGCAAGCTGACTTTGTTTCTGCAGTGGATATTACTGTATTATCTTACTTGTCTGTTGTGTTCTGATGGTTAATTTTAAAGGAGCTAGTCAGCACTCTGTGGTTACTGTTAGATAAATACATAGCAGTTTCTACAGAGGGTGGTTTGAGGGGCCTCTCCACTGGCTCAAATGAGGCTTGTGTTTAAAAAACAGTCCCTGAGCTTCAGCCTAGTGACTTAATTTTTTTTCCCTGTATTGAGATCTCCAGGCAGTGTTGCATGCCCTGAAGCAGATCACAGTTATGTGGGCCATTGTAGTACTGCACTGTGCAAGGTAGGAAGCAATCTGCTGGCAGTGCTATAGGAGGGAAGGTCTGTCTGAGAGCAGCAAAGGAGAAAACTGAATAATGGAGGAGGAGGGTCTGAGAAAAAGAGACTTTGGAGTAATCAGTGTCTGTTTTCCTTACACATACTATCTCAATGTATGTGTAGAAGGAAAAGAGCATCGGCTACCTAAGAATTTAACTTCTCTGTTGACATCAAATTTGTGAAATAAACATTTTGCAGCAGTTGATGCCGGTGCACACCAGTCTACGCATTGTGGGCTATCTTAAGGATGCCTTTTTAACTCACAGAAATTTGTTGCTACAGGCAATCTTGGAAAATATATAGCCCTGCCGGGAGGGCTACCAGAACAATGGCCCTTGCAGAGGAAAAATGGGTGAAAAAGAGGGTCAAACCTCAGATGTTTTGGAATACGTTAAACTTTGTTCTTTTCCTGAGAGAAAGCGGGGGGGGGAGAAGGAGAGAGAGAACAAACCTAACTTGTCCTTCCAGTGAGAAATATCTCTATCTTTCTATCGAGTTAGTGACTAATAGTGTTATTTGTATATATGTGTATGTATATGTGTGTACATAAATATATAGGCACACGTGTACATATCCTTATACATCTGTATACATATACATACATGTGTATATATGTTTATGTTAAAAAAGCAGTTAAATCTATGGCTTTATAAGAATAAGTGCTTCAGATAGTTGTGTATTTAAATGTTTTTCTGTTGCAGTTCCAACATTTTACTTATTAGTTAGTTGCCTTAGATCTGCTTATAGGTGACTACAGATACTGTAATACTCACTCACTTTCTTTTAAAACTTCTCATTTTAGGTCCATATGTTGAAAAAATCCAAGCAGAAACAGAAAAAAACTGGAAGCCTGAGAGAGATGAGAGCAGATAGCATGTCAGTCTCTGAAGGAGGACGCTAAGTGGAGACCTGTGCTCAGAAGTGATGGAGCACACCTACTGTAAATACCAAGATAGTTCAGTAAAACCAGGTGCAGACAACTAGTGAAGAGGGTTGCTTATGAGCGTGCCTTTCATTACATTTTGCTAGTACTGGGTTCTACTTCGTCTTTCAAGGATAGTGCCTCATTGCTACAAATAACTATTATGTACCACTTGTCTCATCTGAAATGTTTACCTTTGGTTGCTTTTTTGATAAGCCATTTCCGAGTTTTCCATGTATGTAGAAACTGAGGCCAAACAAGAGATTCCAAGATGCTGAGATTTCTGCGTCTACCTTGACAAAGACTCTTCCCCTCCTCCCAGCTTTTTCTTAAACAAAATAATTCCATAGATAAATTTTGGTGCATTGTTCAATAAATGAAAGTGTGTTCCTTTAAGTTAATGCTCACCGTAGCCTCCTAACCAAAAAAAGGCAAAGATATGAGCTGCTGTGAACTCCTTGGATCAGTCCAAATAGCACAGCTGAAACAGTACTACCGTAAAGACAAAAATACAAAACACAGGAGCGATTATTTCTATAAAAGTTGCCCCTTGCACTGGGAAGAGAGAAAGTACTAGAACAGTTGAGTCAAAATATTTTAGAGGATTAACTTCAACAGTATTTGGACAATATGAATGAAGGGGAAACAGTTTGTAGAGCAAGTTTTCAACTGCAGCTTGGTTTCTCCTATATTATCCAGCCAAAGCCTGTTTTAAAAGGCATTTGAATTTCAGCAGCTACCACTCTAATGTAAAAAAGGAACAAGAATACCCAAGGCAGTATTACATTCTACTGATTTTTTTCTATCATTGAAACTATTATCTTTGGCAGCAGACTTTTCATCTTGTCTTTACTTGTGCTGTTTCATTTTCATTAATTTGTCACAGTTGGACTGTTACTTAACAGCAAGCTCAAGACTGAAAGAATCATCACTAATTAGCATAAAAGAAGTACCACTTAGTGTTCACTTAAGTAAATTAGCACAGTCATATGTTAGAGCTGAACTGAAGTACAACGTAGCTTTGCTGAGGAGCCTTAGGAGGTATTGAAGCCTGTAGCGTGCATGTAACATGCTGTAGGCTTCAGATAACTGGGAGTGCGATAGCCATCATGAAAACTCTCCTACCTGGTCAGCCTTCTCAAGTCCTTGCTGGGTGTTGTTATCAGGTGTGGTCCAGGGACAGGTGACTTCAGTATAACTTTGAAATATACAAAAGCCGTTTTGTGTTGGAGCCAATTACATGCTGAGGCAGTTCTTGCTGTGTCTCCTTGATCAGTCTGTACTCTAAGCACCGTGCCAGCTTCAGCAACATCTGATCATTACCTGTGCTTTCTACTTTCCAGTCATGGAACAGATGAGGGTGTGAATGTGGGTGCTGCAAGACAGTCATCTATAGCAACAGTGTGATACAGCTAAAGCTATAAACAGACACAAAACAGCCATGCAAAAATGGCAGCTGCCTGCAGCCTCTCCTTCCTGTCCAGTGATTCATTCTGTTCTTAGTGTTCTGGTAGAGATGCATTTGGATGACTGACTCCTCTCTTCAGTGAAACCTGTTATTAATTGTTTAAGTTGTTAATTTAATTTTCAGGATGTTCTTCAGGTACCACGGTGTGGACTTGAACTTACCTTTTTATTCAAGATGCAAACTGGACTCATGCTATGAAGGAGATAGTGTGGATAGTACAGAGCTAAAATCCTTGTCTCCTATCATTACACACAGGGTTGTCTCTGCTTCAGAACCTGGGCATGAAGGATCAGCTGGAGCTCTTCTGGCATCCTGGTACCAGCATTACACATAGGAGGGGTAAAGTAGTGTGTTTCAGGGTATGCCCTCTCAGGACAAAGCCCACAAATTAGAGAGGAAATCTGAAATAGATTGCTGCTTATAATTGTCCAGAAAGTCAGATAAACTGCTTTCTGTCCTCAGGGCAGCAGAAAGAATGCACAGTCTTCTTTCTGATTGCTGACTCAGTAACAGAGAGGAAAACTTGGCTTTTTGTTACAGAAAACATGCGTAAGTTTTAAGCTTGCTGGTATTGACCATCTTCTGCAGCCCAAGTAAATAAACCTGTCTTACTGTTTTTCCAGACATATGTAATCCTGCAGCATGCAGCTGACAGTGTTTCATGTTCTTGGCTCATGAAGGGCCTGTCTCTCCCTTTTGCTCCGTATCTGTTATCTGAAATAACATGAAACTCTCAGGCCACAGTATTTTAATCGGAGGGCCCCTTATTGTGGCATATCCTTCCATGGGGATTTTCCAGCCTGGGAACACGGTATGAGCCTGTCTCAGGGTAGCGTTGTGGTAGCAAGGCAACACAGAAGTACAAATGTGTTCTAATCGCAGCTGCCAGAAGGGATCCTGGTGGAGGACAGGAAGGCTTTGAGTTGGCATTTAAGGCCTCTGTGCATCGTAAAATGATGCTTGGTGTGTTTTGAAGACAAAACAGATTCCTGGGCAGTTGAAACAGCAAAGGTCCTGTAAATCTTAAAAGGAGAAACTCACTGTTTAATACCTCTATTAAGATGTTGAAGTTTCAGGTACTGTAAAGGCCAGTATATCAAGAATATATGTATTCTTTCTTTTTTTTTAACATATTTGTCAAACATAGTATCTGAGAAGGCCTAGTATTTTCTTCTGTAGTATGCAAGGCTTCCTTCAAGAGAGTAGAGAACTCTTCACAGTTAATACAAAACATTTTGACTTGGCTTTTAAGTTGAACAAAACAATGCAGTATAGTTTACATTATAGTGGGCAGACAAATGATTCTCGGCACTGAGTCTTCTGAGTAACATTGTGTGAGAACCTCATAGTCACATGGCCAAGTGCTTTAAATAATGCAGTAACAAAAGTGTTGGGGAAGGGGCTTGGTTCTGTCAAGGCAGGTGTTAATCAGCATCAGGAACACAGGATCAGGAACCATAATCTGTAGACAGAGAGGAGATGCAGGCTCATTGCTATGCTGAGCACACTCCTTCATCCTCTCTCCAATGTCCTGCCTTTTTACCTTGCCTATAAACCATGGCAGGCACAGGTAGCACAGCTAGCATCTCTCGTGCTGAGATAGGTGCTCCTGACCTTTTACTGGTGTCCTAATAGATTTTGCCAGCATGTGGGAGAGAAGGGTCCTGAAAATCATGGTGCATTTGAAATACCACACTATTGGAGACGAGAGAAGGTGGTCAATTGGTTAAAATCTGTTTTGACACGTAAACACGTTATCTTTGTCTTGAATTAGGAAAACTGAAATTCAACAGCTCATCCCTGGGATACAGGTGCTACTTGAGAAAATTTGCTGCTTTTTGCCCATGGCTCTTACATTTGATTTGTATAGCTTAAATTGCTGATGTTTTCACTGCATTGATTTTTAAATGAAACAGTGGTACTTTGCCAAAAACTTTTTATTTATATATGTGTATATATGTGTGTGTGTACATATATGTGTATACATACATATGCACACACGCTTTAAAAATAGGCCTTATTTTATTTCCTTCCACAGTGCCTACTTGTACAGCTTTTGCTGTGTTACAACGTTCTGATAGCGCCCACTTCTGGATCTTTCTCTCACCAGTTTTGGACAGGAGGCAGAGCCTTCTTTCTTACTGGTCCCACGGAGGTTCCCAGCACGTATTTCTAATGGACATGTGCTTCCCAACAAGACATGATAGCAATATAGTGAAAGCACAACTCCATTTAGAGTACACTCTCTGCATGTATACAGTTCAAGCTCCTTTGCTCCTTCTAGATTTTAATCAAATCTGTGTGTGTCTAAAATCAACGGCAATGGCAATTGTAGCATTTTAAAAACTAGAAGAAGCTGTAGCATAGTCCACTGCAAAACTTAAATAAGGAACAAAACTAAATGAACTGTTATAGACAATTGTTCCAGTGTTGTACAGATTGCATTTCTTTAAAGAGCAAATAATGTACTTGTTTTGAATATCAGCTGTTTGGAATCGCTGAGCACTTACATGGTGCACATTACTCTGCAGCAGTCTGTTGGCATATAAATGTGATGTTATCAAATGAAGCCTCATTTTGTGAGCAGAGAAGGTAAGAGTAGCTGTTGTGACACTGAAAAAGGACTAGTGTTGAAGATGCAACAGATTCAGCTGCATAGGTATTTTATAATGCACTGACTGTGTGAGCCGGTGTGGCCTGTGTTGCATAGCCACCAGTCCATACTCCAGCACTGAAACAGGGGGTGTGTTGGAGTTGTGCGCTTGAGAGACCTGGCAGTAGATATTCCTTTGGTCATACCTCTTCCTTACAACCTTCATAGTAACTGTGTGTTTTCCTCTTCTGCTAGGCTGCCTTCCTGCCCTTTGGGCCCAGCCTTTATACTGAAACTTGTAACAAAGGCATGAGTATGTGGTGGTGAATGTGTGTGGAGAGCGGGGTGATGGAGATCCTGCTCTAAAACACAGCTCTGGCTGTTGGACTTAGACCATTCATTAATTTCTACTTCAGCTTCTATTTCAGCCACTTAACAGCTGTGAGGCAAAGACTCAGCAACTACTGAACTACCTTGGATTCATGGTGACAGCATTGCCTCATCTTCAGGCTTTGGTCTTACATGCACCAGTGCATGTATCACTTCATATACTTTTTGCACTTAACAGAAAATGCAGGTTAGATAGGCTTAAGGTGTGGCAAAATTGCAATGTTTGTACTTTTTTGTAACTATGGGGATGATTCTACAGATACAAAGATGCACTTTCAGGTAACTATGAAAACAAGCTTGTAGAATGCAACTGTTCAGGAGTTTCTCTGACTGCAGCATTCCTTGATCCCCATCCATCTCTAATACTGTGTTCTCCTTGAAAGCGTGCTTGGGAATGAGAGATGGTGTCTTCCTCCCATCACAGTGTGTATTTATAGATGACTGACTGAAAGTTCATATATATTTTTAAACAACTACAAATTGGCTGCTATTCTCAGATTTAGGTTTATTAGACTGATTTTATAATGCATAAAAGTAATATTAAAGTTTTATTTATAATGTCAACATTTACTGATTTGACACTTGGCTTGTAGGAGAGATCCAGCTCAAAGCCTTCATTCCTTTTGCTGTTTAATATATACTTTTTTTTTAACAGTGTAGCCATTGTATGTGTGGAATGCAGTGAAATGAATGCAAATTACTAATCTTAACCTGCAGTTAGACCAGCAGGTTCAATGTTTACAGGACAGTGACTATTGATTGTAAACCCATACGTGGCGGTTGAAACAGTGCACTCCTTCCATGTTTTAGAAGCATTGTTTCTGCTTCCCATGACAATTAAGGAAATAGTTGCCCTCTGATTTAGATTCCTAGTTACATCCCTTTGTAGAGATTCAAACGCAGATTATAACTTTTCTGCCATGAACTCATAAGACAGAATTTCTACTGATACAAGTCTTGTATTGAACATGTTTTCTGAAAGATTGACTTTTATTTTTTTGTGAAGATAATTTATGAGAATGTTTTATAAGCAGATCAGTGTTGTCGAAAAAGTTGGTCTGAAGTCTTGAAATAAATGTGTGTAGATATTAAAGGTGTGTCCCAAAGCAAAGTATTTTTGAACAGGGCACTGTTACTAGTGTAGTTATCCCTCAGCTCTCCTAGCAACACACCCATTTCACACATCACTGTGCACAGCTCAAGTGTGTTATTTAGGAGATGACTTGATTTCAGAAGATGTGGCTAGCTTTATGTTGTGCATACCCCATATTACACCTCTGGCAGTGAGTCCTAATATAAAAATCAGCTGCAGAAGGCAGAACTTTTCCCCTATACAAATCACTGCAGGTTAGAGAGCAGAGAGCCTGCCCTTGTGCTTAACTGCAGGAATGTTAAGAGTCTGGTGACTGTTTGGCACTTAGAGTCCTCTCACTGTCCACAGGGTGTGCCACACATTAGTCCTTTTGCTTTCTAAAGGGAGGCAGGCAGAAATTGACATCTGCCTGTGTCAAACAGTTAACAGCTTGCCTTGCCATGGCATCCCTTTTTTTGTGCTGCTGATCTTGCCAAATTGGGTAGCAAGAGGTGCTTGAAGAATTACTGAGTATTTATTGTGTAATTTTAGGTGCTTATAAAGCCTTCACTGCTATTTAAAAGCAAAATTCTGGGGATCTGTAGCATAGCAATAGCTGTATAATTCCAGCTTGCCGACCATGCCAAAAGCAAGTTACCCTTGGGATGGTTTAATTAGCAATGGTGTAGATAGTAGCAAACAATAACCTTGAAGCCACAAGTTCTGATTATTGGAAGGGAGCATTTCTGCTTTGAATGCTATAGATTCCAGTGTCCTTCCTACTTATGAACCACCCATGACGTCTTAACTCTTCTCAAACTATGGCTTAACTATTGCTTAAATAACTGTGTTTTTCACCTCTGGTTATTAAGTCATCCAACTTCAAGCAGTTTTACAAATGCTATTTTAATATTAAGATACTCTAAGATGTCTTATAGCATTTCTTGTGAATGTTCTAATACATTGGTAATAAATCATCTTGGCCCAACAAGCTAAGATAAGCTGACCATTGAACAGTTTAGTTATTGTCTAAGTGCTTATTCTTTGTGCATCTGCCTAATAATTCTCAGAAAAAAAAAACAAAACCTAATTATAAGCATTGAAGTGGTTGAAAACTGTTTCCACATTGTGTGCCTCAAACCAGTATTGCATTATCACACGTTTACTTGTGGATTGGTCTCAGAAACAGGCTTTTAATGATGTAACTTGTTTCTCAGTATCTGCCTAGCAAATCAGTATGCTGTGGTAACTTGTCTACAAATAACATACCTAGTGTACTAATTGGTTTAAAAAAGTAATTTATAAAAGATGGACTTTTCTCTTATATTTAAACATCTGTTTGTCCTTGGGTTATGTTCTTAGAACAATTCTGTATATATTTTGCAATATGGGGTTTGTGTTTAATTTGATTGTACATTTTGCACTGATTTGAAATTCTGTATTCTAAGTATTATTTACAAGTTCCAGAGATCTGTAACTAGAATTTGTCTGTGAAAAATACAACATTTCTCCTACCCTGGACGTTTGTGGAGTAGTCATGCTTTAAAAATAGTGAAATACACTTCTGCAGAGAGAAATGTACTTTGTTTCAGCTGGGCACTACTTCTGTAGGTATTCTGTAGCCTTGCTGTTTGAGATCGGGTCATGCTCTGTGAGAGGGTGGCTGTGTGGTAGCAGTGTTACTTCGTAGGTTTTGGTTTCTAAGATGACACCTACACACTAAGTTTGACCCCTGCAACATTCAAGCTCTTCTAGAACCCTTATTTCTGTGGGTAGCACTTACTGTAACTGGTAAAGTCTTTCTGTGACAGCACCATAGTGTGTTTTTGTTTTGTGAGCTACGTCAGTGACGATCTAGATTTTCCAAGGTAGTTTTGTACAATTCCTTGCTCTATTTGCACTCCTCTAGAAACACATGACCTGGTGTTTTCAGGCTGCGAGGAACAGGCCCATGAGTTAGCCCCATTGTGCTTGGCTTGGGTGAGCACTGGTGGACCTGGCCTGCACAACCCAACGGCCAGAGCCCATGGACCTTGGCTTGGAGGGGGTCAGCTGGGGCAAGAGGAAGGGCTGTCCAGGGAGCAGAGCCCAGATGGAAACTCTGTCCTGCCGTGAGTAGACAGCCCACCCCTCCCTGGAGGTCAAGACCTGTCAGCTCCTGGCCTGCCTCTCATGGCTGATGAGGTTCCTCAAGCTTGACACCTCTGCTTATGATGTCCCTGCTGCAGTAACCGTTCCTCTGGGATGGAGCAGTTGTTTCTCCCCGCTCTGTTCAACAATTGATTGCAGAACAGGGAAGGGCTTGGTTTTGCCCTAGCATCTCAGGGTAAACCTCGTTGTTCCTTGCTGGGCTGCAAATCAACAAGCTCCGAAGCAGCTACATCCACATTTAAAAAAAAAAACATATATAGAAAAACTCAGTTCAGGACTACTGTTCTGGGAAAAGAGGGGAAGCAAACAAAATACTGACTTTCATGTAGAGGAAAAGAAACCAAACACAAAACACCCAAGCCTGAAGTGTTCATGATTTAACCAAGCTTGCCTTAAAAATGGAGAAAAAATGCCCTTTCTCTGTTAACTGGGGAAAGTGAGGTGGCATCTTCCACTTATTCTTTCTTCAGGTCCTAGTGGTGGTGTGGCACACTAAAACATACTGCTCTTCATGTTGTATGCACTGCTTTTCAACTTTTACGTGTTGCAACCAGCACCTATTTCAAATATGCAATTATATGAGCCAGCCAGGCTGTCCAATGGATAAAACACCTGTACCTGGAGGACTTGGGAAATCTCTGAGTGCTGAATGTGGTGAAGTCCTTCCAAATGCAGCTGGGTTTGTGGCACACCTTTGTGAGACAACAGCATGCAGT